TCTTAGATATAAAAAAATGACAATGAGCCAGATTGCATATATAAATAATACAATAATAATTCCAAAATTAGGATACCTTTTGCAGTTAACAAAAGTATCAGAAAAGATGATCGACAAGATCTACCAGCCAATAATATGTTTGGCAAAACATAAGTGCAATATGATAAAAACAACAAACAACTGTATAATTGAACACAAAGATCTGGGTAATTGTAAATTATTAAGTCAAGTGATAGCAACAAAGCAAATAAGCAGTTTATTCACAAGACTTAACAAAAAGACAATTTAGATAATCTAACAAAACTTAGAATAGCTCAAGGGTATCAAAAAGCAGGCTTAGTAAAAGACATTTGGGACTCCGAAAGAAGACCAGAAGAAATAATGTATTGGAAACACAATTTAGCCTGTTAAACAATAGTTAAAGCAAGAGAGATGAGAATTAATTTCAAAACAAAAGATTACCTATAGAGAGTACATGGCTATAGAACAAGCATAAGAGACTTAGTTGGGGTTAAATTATGGACAGCAAGTAGTAGTACAATAAATAAATAGGGTCTAATATATTTGAACCAACTCGTAGACATGAAAGGGAAGAACTTAATTACATAGAAACAGCTTAAAAGTCTTTTAAGACTGTCATGTAAAGGAAAGAAAGCCAGATGGTTTAGCAAAATAGAAGGAAAGATGTTAGTGACACAAACAAGTAGAGAAATATACAACCAATACAAGATTAGAGATTACAATACACAGGCCTTAACAATCAACTGGACAAAGATATCTGAAGACAGAAGAAAGAAAGAGTGGATTGTACACAGACCAAAACACAATCTGCAATTTAGTAAAATATCAAAGAAGAAAAAGAAAAAGATCTTAGCAGAACATTGGCTACTACAAAAAGTAGAAGGCAAGACATATACTGAGATAAGTAAATGCAAAGGGTGTAAGAACAGAACAGAACAAGTGACAAACAATTGTGAAAAGTAGATAAGGTGAAATAATAACTTAAAGGCAGTTTCAAAAACATTAGTAGAGAAAGGCAATAACAAAATTAATGCAACATTAGAACAAATGCTAGAAAATAGAACAATAGAAGAATAGAGAAAAGAAGAAAGTGGGCTAATCAAACTTAAACAAATAGAAGAATTAAAGACAGAATTAATCAAGAAACAAGCATTTGATAGTAAAGTTGAAGATATCATAATAGAAGTCCTATCAAGAAACAAGAGAAGAAACAAAGACAAATACACCCTTTATACAGATGGAGCATTATATAAAGGAGAAGGAAAAGATAGTATAGCAAAAATGGGTATCAGTTAGATGCAGGTTAGTGATAAAAAAAACTGGCCAGAAGAAGAAATAATACTGGGACTCGAAAGTTGGCTCTCAGCAATGATAGCAGAATTAGCAGCAATATGGTTAGCAATTTTAACTATACCAGAGGGGAAAGGCATAGAAGTGTACACAGATAGCCTTGCAGCATTAAGGTACATTAATAGAGCAATTCAAGCGATAGGAGATGACAAAGTTCTAAAAAAGAAAAATATAATGTGAATAATGAATATTGTAAGTCTACTCAAAAGCAAGAACAATAAAATAGAATTAGTTAAGGTTAAAAGTTACAGCAATGACAAGTGGAACAACAGAGCAGATTTGCTTGCAAAGAAAGGAGCAATATGTAGAATGACAATATTTACAGAGAAAATTAAGTGTGACAAGATAGAGTATCACTTAGAATAGGAAAACAGGAAAGTTAATATACCAACAAGACTTTTTTGTAAAATAGTCATGAATGCCAAAATCAGAGTGAGCTAGAGAGAAACAAACCCAATTCGAGCACTGAAGCCAGAAACTGAGAACACTCAATATGACTGGTCAAGCTTTTGGAAAAAGATGAATAGAACAAAAGGTGTACATTGCATGACAAGAAAACTTAGTACAAGAAGAGCTACAGCAATTAAATGCATAATAGATAGCCTACTAATGCTAGAAGAACTAAACAGAAGAAGACCAGAAATTTATATAACAACTAACTGCCAAGTATGCCAAAGAGGTGAAAAGGAAACCTAAGCACATCTAGCAAGCTGCATCAAACAAAAAAGCTTGTGGAAGAAAATTCAAAAAGTAGCAATAGCAACAGCATAGAACAGTCTTAAAGAAAATGAAAGAGTTAGAATTCTACCTCATGTGTTATATGAGGCATTATTTGGAAAAACAGAAGCAGAAGAAATTACGAATAGAGCAGCTTTAGTAAAAGTGTTAATAATGAATGAGGTTAGAAAAAGGATCAGTCAAATTCTAAATAGACAGGCAACACAAAAATGCATGGATATAGTAGTAAGAACAGTATAGAATACATTTTATAACCAAGTATGAAGAATCCGTTATGAAAAAATACAAGAATAGAAAAAGAAGGTTAATATAACAAGCAAAATGAAAAAAGGTGCTTGAACTAGAAGAAGATCAGAGAAAAGAACAAAGAAGAATAAGACAGCAAAAGAAGAAGAAAAAGAGAGAAAATTGGAAAGAGTGAATCAAATAAAGAAAAAAGCTTGAAAGACAATTGATATGCTTGTCACAGAGAAGGGAAGACCCTTCTGGTATAGCTTTAAGTAGTTAGACAAGCAGTCTATCTCTAACTGAGATAGTGCGGCAGGTTGCACTTAGGTACTAATAGGATGGCCGAGTGATGCTAGACTTAAGTATTAAAAAATTCTATTTAATTATAAATATAAATAGTTTCAAAAATCTTAATAAAGTACTAGCATAACTGCTTAAGGTTAAAAAAAAAAAATAAAAAAATAGAAGAAACAAAGAAGAAACAATAGAAAGAAACATAGATATAAGATAGGTATAAACAAGTAAAACACAAGGTTAGTCAGAAAAGAAAGTAGCATTAGAAATAAAAGAATGATCTATATCTATAACAGCTGAGGTGCTAGCAATATGAGCAGTAGTATTAACAATATCAAAGAAAAAAAAACTAGAAATATTTATAGATAGCAATGCAGCAATTAGAAATATTAGTAAAAACTTAGAGTATATAGATAAAAATAAAGTTTTTAAGAGAAAAAATGCTTTATAAGTATTGAAAATAACTGATATAATTAGAACAAAAAACATATAGATAGAGTGGGTTAAAGTAAAAAGTTAAAGTAAGAACAAATAAAATAATAAAGCTGATAGCTTTGTAAAAAAGAGAACATTAAGCAGAAAAATAATTTTTCTAGAAGAAGTTAGTCATAAAGAAATAGAATATTGCCTAGAGTGAAAAAACAAATAAATAAACTTACTAGCAAGACTTTTATGTAAAATAGTAATGAATGCCAGATTAGGAGTAGAGTAAAAGAAAACAATAGTAATTAAGAACATAAAACCAATAACAGAAGCAATAATCTATAATTGGATATATTTTTAAAAAAGATTAAAGTCCTCTAAAAAGGTATATTGTTTAACAAAAAGAAGCAGTGCAAGAAAAAGTACTTTTATAAAATATATATTAAACAAACTTCTGATTTTGAAAAAACTTAATAGAAGAAGGCCAAATATATATACAATAGCAGAATATCAAGTATGCTAAAGCAAAGTTAAAAAAATGCAAGAACATTTGGCATATTGTAAGAAACAAACAAACTTATAAAAAAGAATACAAAAAGTATCTATTATGATAGCATAAAAAAGTTTAAAAGAAGATAAAAAAATCTGGATCTTACCTTATAGCATAACTCTGATACTTTAGTATACTTTTGCCTTTTTATCTGTCTTTTCACCTGACTTTTTACCAAACTTCCAATCTAGATAGTCTGTATAAAACTATGACCAGTTTATTGATATATCAGGTTGACTCGATATTCTTTTTCTCTGGTTCATTCTAGCAGCCTAGTTAGTGATATCCCAAGACTCTTAACCTGAAGGTTTTTGCCTATCTGGCTACTATAACTAGGTATTATGACCTTGGTATCCATTTCCTTAGGCTAGTCTTTACAATAAGGCTATTAAAGATCTAGCTATCTCTTTACTTGAATCTTCTCAAATAGACTTTTTGTTATCTAATTTCAACAGATTTACATAGTCACAAGGACTTATTTAATGTTTGTACTACCCAATTGTTAGTTTGCATTCCTTCATATAATCACAGACCTTGTCTCAAAGAACAATGTCATATAACTTATTATATGAATGTTCTATAACCTGCCAGTCATGCTAGAGTAACTGTTATTATAAGTATTCTAACCTAATCATTAGTAACAGTTGCTGTAATATAAATATTACATAGATGATTATTCAAATTTTCATCATCAATAGGATTTGAACACCCAATCTACCACTTGAAGGGTTGACAACCTAACTACTTCACTAAGTCACCACACCCTTCATTTTGCAATTATTACTAAAAGTTATTTCTTTAGTTCTAATACAATTTTCTTTTCTAATTAATTATATTTTTGCCTATTTGTAGCTATATAAAATCTATTCTTTTTAGGAATAATAATTATAGCATAGTAGTTAGGTTGTTATCTCTTAAGTAACAGATTTAGTATTCAAATCTTATATATAATAAAATATAAAAAATTATATTTGTGTTATAGTAAACTGTTTTGACAATTTGCTGAATTAGTATTTGTAACTTTAAATTGCATTATCTTAAATAAGAGCTTAGGACATCTATGCAAAATATAACATTATATGGTTTGGTGCAAAAAGGTTGATACATAAAGATCATTACCTAAATTTCTTCTATGATTCAAAACTCAGAAATCAAATCGGATAAGTATAAAATTTATATAAAAAGTTAGAATTGTTTTGAATTTTAAATTTTTCTCACAAAGCTTATTTTTTTTTTTCTATTGATAAGTTGAAACAAGACTGAAGTTTCTTGACCAGCAATGAAAAAAAGATGATTGTTCATGTTTATCAGTACTTTTTAGCTACCTGACAACACTAGCAGCAATGCCAAGTTTTAAAACTATGCAAGGAAGTTGCTAAGGTTCTTGGATTTGAAGAAGTATGTGGTTGCTGAGTATAATAAAGGCAACAATAAAGAACCTTTACCACCTAAAGTTTATGGTCAGCCAAAAAAAAAGTTGGATAGTGATCTTGTTGGACTTTTGTGCAGTCTTATTCTGGCTGCAAATACCTCTAATGCCCCATTATTCACATCAGTATTATGTTAAAAGCTTGAAGAAAGTAGGTTTATTTTTTCAAAATGGTAGTTATTTCATGTACTGCATGTGTTGAGTTATTATTATGGTCATAGTAAACATTAGAATATGTTACATAAATCGCAAGAAAATATTAGCTTTCATAATTGTTATTTGAGACATCAGTTTAAAAATTTACAAGAGAAAACTCTTTCCTGTTCACCTCTGATCGGGAAAGGAAAACAAAAACAACAATCATAAAGTCACTAAACACAAAACAAAACCTAACAAAAAAGTCCACCTCAAGGGCCAAAGCCCTTG